ACTTTCCGATCATGAGGTTAGGCAGTGAGTTTGTGTAATGTTTGTGCCCTCAAGACACACTTGTCATGTTCATTAATGCAATGATATGCAGAAGGGTTCATGTCTAGGTTTGTCCATGGCCTGTGGGTAAATGATACTAATCACAACATGGCTTCTATGATGTAACATCATTGACCAGAAAGCTGTGAGTGAAAAAATAGCCCTATGGGTTTTTTAGTTTTTTTGACTATTTTTAAATGCCTAGTGGAATGAAATGCGTCATTTCCTGTGACTGTGCCAGCAGACCAGCCCCTTCAAATTCAATAATTTATGGGACACCAGTCATTGTAAGTGTACATTAAATTTTAACACATTAAATTGAAGTACAAGGACTGCTTACTGCACAGTGTAAACATTTTTTTTTAAATATTATTATTAATGTTAATAATAATATTAGGCTACCTTAATATTAATATCACTCTTCTTAAATATTTTGAGAAAACTTTATTGTGGGATACATTACACACAGTATACTCTGTTATGAACAGCAATTTTTATGCAGGCTCCTAACTTCATGCTGCATATTGCAGAAATAGTAAGAGTAGTATAGTAGTAGCCTATGCTAGTCCGAACATAGCCTGCTTGTCTGTGCTGGAATAAGGTTGTGCTGGTCTGTGCACAAAAATGTGCAACAAAGCAAGAATAAGGCTGTATAAATGTTTAGAGCCAAAGAAGGAAGTAAACTTCTGATATTTTTAGAGATTCGTCAAGCTAGACAAGGAAGAGTCTTCATGAGAGAGACTGCAAGTCTTAGCTTGATTTTTAGAAGTATGATTGGAATTTGAAGGATCTTTGAGACCTGCTTTAGCTTTATCTTCCTTACTTGTGCACTTCTGTACTGAAGCTATTTAGCCAACATGCATGTGTTATGCCAAAATAGTTGGACCAAATAATTGAAGAAGAGAAAGTATATTGGTTCAAAAACAGTTACATTAGTGAGAGTTGTAATTTACTTGAAATATTACATTAAGAAGATTTTACATCCTCTCATTGGAACTTTCTTTTCCAAATGTTTACTTTTATAAAAAGCATCCCGGTAAAATTGAGTCCTCACAGAGAACACCAGATTTTGTCTCGGATGGATTTTTTTTAGATTCATATTCATAATGTAATCATTATATAATGTAAAAAAAATGACATTTAAAATATTCAGGTGCTCTTTAAACAAATTAACTGAACACTCACTGTGAGGTAGACAGGCCTCTAATTAAAGCTTTTCCATTGGGGGGAATGTGTGTGTGTGTGTGTGTGTGTGTGTGTGTGTGTGTGTGTGTGTGTGTGTGTGTGTGTGTGTGTGTGTGTGTGTGTGTGTGTGTGTGTGTGTGTGTGTGTGTGTGTGTGTGTGTGTGTGTGTGTGTGTGTGTGTGTGGGGGGGGCCACTGGCTCTGAAGAGCCCGACTAGGCTGTAAATCAGCTCCGGTCTCTCAACCCACTCCGGCTGTTCAGTGTCTAAAGCAATTATAGAAAAAGACTGGATGCAACATTTTTCCTGTCCTTCAAGATTTGTGGACACTTTTAAAAGGGTTTCGAACCCTAGCTAACCCCCTACAACCCTTCATAAAAACTCAGGCTTTTTTAAAACAGACAACAGACGGCTGTCAATCGATTAAAAATGTAATTGAATTAATTACATATTATAAGAATTAACTAATCACATTAAATCACTTACTAATAATAGTTCAAAAAAAGTTGTCACCTTTATTTAAATAGCGCTTTATAGAATACAGATTGCTTCACTGACAGACAAAAATGAAAGGTCTATCAGTCAAATCTCAGCTTTAGGAGGGGAAGAAACAGAACAAGATAAAAAACAAAAAGAAAATGAGTGTGATGCTTATTAGGAGAGAAAAAAAAATAATCAAGCTGGACATCAGTTTCCTGCTTCTGTGTCAACATCACATTTTGATCTGCCTGACTGCGTTTTAAAAGGAAGTATGGCTATCTGAACATAATCGTGTTCTTATACGGGGATATTAAGATATAGTCAGTGTTTACTCATGTTGTGACGCAAAGCGCCATCATCCATATATATCAACACTGAAATGAACTCAACTCAAAAACTATTTCCCGAGTCCCGACACGCCCACTTCCTTTCACATTCAGAGTGTAGTCACTTATAAGTTTCCCCATTAGAATACTTTTATCCAACCTGTCAATCATAAACTAAAGTGGCACTCCAAGTCATGGCATATTTATAATCGGCGCTTGCGCAGACGCAGGTCTTGTGCGGTAAGTGTTGTTGTTTGCTGAGTGCTGGGATGGCATAAAACAGAGGAGAGTCCAGCCACATCTCATGCATAAAATCATGAGGTGCTTTTTTGATCTCTCTATGGGTAAAAGCCAAAACTTAAGTGCCACACTTTTTTGCCTCTTCTATAACTATTTGCATAATCACTCGAGTAGCATAAGGCTGAATTTGGTAAATGATCATTTTGTTGATATAAGGAAGATCCTGGAGGGGATGCTGTGCTTAACTGTATGTGCTTGTAAGCGCGGTGTAATGGCATCTGGTGAAGCTGTTTATACATTGCTTGTTTTGTCTAGTTGTATGTCAAGTTGTATTTTGTCTAATTTTTCAGGGGAACAACAACACTTGTTATCAGAGAATATATCTTCAGATAAGTATTTGTCTTTCTTCATTGGCAAATATTAAGTATAAACAATATGAAGTTAAGTTCACCAAAATTAAGTGGTATTTTTGTCAAATTTTTCATGAAAACATAAAAAAACAAGACTTGTTTTCAGAGAATATAACGATACAAGATACTATAGGTACTATTTGGTTTGAAATTTACTTTGCATTCTATGTATGCAATAAATATGTATCCCTCCCGTTGCCTGATAGTAAAGTGACCATTGAATGTGCACTTCAGAATCTCGCCGGCAGTAGGTCATCCAGGTACTTTTTGACTAGGCCTACTGTGAATACTATGAATTCGGACATACTACTCGGCTCACATACTGTTTTTCGCCTATGTATGAAAGTAGACATATTCAGATGCAGCGTGTGAGCTTCAAAAAACAGTTTACACTAGCTACTCTTCACAAGTATGGTTATGCTCCAGCAGGAGGGTATTTATTATTTTATAAAGAGAACAAATCATAAGAATGATCAATTCTTTGATCTTTTGCAATAAAACAGCTATAAATCGATTTCTATAAACCCATCCCGTAACTTCTAGCCTAGGACAGAGAATTGATCTAATTTAACCTGTGAAGGATGGGCTTATGTAGAAGTCTTATGGTGTGTTCACACCGAACGCGAATTTAATTATTTGCGCGAGTAGATTACATACAAAGTCAATGCAAAAACGCGAATGTCTTCCGCGCAAGTTGAAAAATTTGAACTCGAGCGAATTTTCAAGCGTCTAACTAGACGCGTATTTGACGCTCTATTCGCGTTCGGTGTGAACACACCATTAGAGGCACATCAGCAAAAAACAACAACAACAAAAAAACAACATTTAAGGTCAGAAAGAGGGTGGAAAAGTTCATTAGTGTTTAACTAATAATAAAAACAACTTTAAGTACTATCATTATAATTGGTCTTCAGGAAACAAAAATCAGATAAAAAAAATGTATAGCATGACTCCTTTAATAGCCATAGGGTGAAGGTCACAGTGAGTAAATGTTTGCTTTGAGTGAGATGCACTAGACAAAAAGGAAACTCTCAGAGACGCTCTCAACAGGACCCAGAGGTGCTGAGTAGCGGTCTGGCAAAGTGCTGGAATATTTTAGGCCTTCAAGCAGATCCATTTCTCTGTATCAGCTTGACTGCATGTCAGAATCATAGGCCTAAGTGTTGTTCAAACAAGGTCATTATATTATTTATGACTTTTTCAGAGTCAGGGTTTTTCAGTCTTGTATTATTAGTTACAGAAATGAGTCCTACATGCATATGAGAAAGTGAGAGAGTATATTCACACTGGATGTGCCTGTAGAGGAGTGTATACACACGCAGAAACACTCGAGGTCATTGTATTTTATCTTTACAGCTGTTTGAGGCCAATAGCCTACTTTTACAGAAATGAGAGAGAAGGTCGTTGAAGTGAAATCAATACAGCCTCTTAATGAGGTTCTCTGGAAAGAGAAAATTGATTGAGAGGGAGAGTTAGAGAGAAACAAAGAGAAAGCAAGAGGGTGGCACTGCTAAACAGATATATTGAAACCGTTCGGAAGCAGGGCAGCACTGAGCGGAAATAAGTGGATCAACCTCACTTTGAGTGAGTTTTTCTTAGTAGGGAAAGATTAGTGATTACCAGAGGACATTGATTAATGCAACAGTATGGCAGTGTAAATTAAAAGTGGGTTTTTTCACGGCGCAAAAGCATCTGCCCTCATTTTCAGTGTATTTGGCTCATGGGATGATTCCCAGCTTGTATCATCTCAGTTATATAACAGACTTGTGAACTTCTGTGTGTACAGTAGTTCTCATTTCAAAGAGGAAAGCAGATGCTTTCAACCCATTTTCTTGTTAGACTACATGAATAAACAAGTGCTTATGGTGGCTGACATTTTGACATTAACTATTGTTTATACATAGTTTTATGAGCTTATATTTAGAGACTACAAACAACCTGCAACAGTATAGACTAACGGTCTCAGACCTTTGGACCCCACAATATATATATATATATATATATATATATATATAGCAGGTATTTTTATACAAATTTTTGTTTCACACACACCTGACCAAATGTCCTCTCAATGTAGGTTAAACAAGAACACACACACATATATATACATTACACACACATATATATGATATGTGTGTGTGTGTATATACTGTTGAAAATAAGTTGGATGGTAAGAGGAATATCTTAATTCATGATGTTGAACAAGAAGATGGATGCAACCAAAACTTGAAATATCAGAATATTCTGCAGAAGGATTCAGGTTTCATATTTGATCCTCTGAAGGGGTGTTCATTGTTTTTCCTTTCTCTTCCTTCAATTTAGAGATCCCAGTGGAGCCATTTGAACCAGTAACCAATGGCAACAGTCCAGGCCCTGTCCTTGAACCAGGACCCCAGCAAAAGCATCTGTGCCGTTTATCCGACATCCTCTTTGGCATCAGGCCGCTGCGTCATGGGAAGTGTAGGCAGCCTAATCGAGAAACCAGACGTGTCACCAACCAAGAGCAATAGAGCAGTTCCACAAGTATCAGGACGTCATAACCACGGCCTGCTCAAGAAGGGTTTCAACCAGAGAGAGCTGCTTAACTATCTGAACATAACCAAGAAGGAAGCGAAGGGCAGCAAACACATCATCTCTGGCACATCCTCCATCAAGAGAGAGCACAGGAGCGAGGAGAACGACATCTACACTAAGGTCTACCACCGAGATGGAAAAGAGCTTGATTTGGGAAAGAACTCACTTCCCATAGGTGGCAAGTTTGATAAGGTAAACGACTGTGAAAAAGTTATGCTTCGCTCATGTCATGTCAGAATTACAGCAATTGGGAGTTTACTAACATCAAACTTTGGTAACTCTAACCAATGGCAGAGATGTGGGGAGTGTTTGGGAAACCTGTCTGGAAACAGTTTCTAGTTTTGCTACTGTGTTTAATGACTCAATTATATACTTAAGCTTTATAATACTCACAAGAGCATATGGAGGTGAATTAATGTAGTATTTTTCTGGCATCAACAGTAACAAAGGACCAAATATATATTGTTAAAATACATATAATATAAATAGTTACATACATTTTTTTAATCTGTCACTCTGCATGACCAGTAATACAATTTGAAAAATAAAAAATATATTTGTTATATTTTACTAACTGTTTACTAACTGTACTGTTTTTTATTTATTACAATTTATAGTACACAGCTGAACACGATCATGAATGTATTCTAATTTTGTGTAAAACCAGCTAGTAAAAAATATAAAATTACTAAGCACCAAAAAAAAGTTAAAAATGTGTATTTTTGAGACTATGTTGAGACTAAAGATGTGACAGCAGATTTAATTTAAAAAAGACCTGAATGCAGCATAAATATGTAATATTATTTCATTAAGAATAATAAAAATAAACTTTAGCAGAAAAGTAAGGGTGAATTCATCAAAGTTATTGACTTTTTTACCCATCGACACTTGCTTCAGTAAGTATTCAACAAATCTCGGAAGGAGCAGGTATTAAAAACACACTTTACAATGACTGGATGAAAACAAGATGAATAGGTTCCTCGTTGTAGTTTCAAAGCCTGTCAATGAAATGCAGAAATTGTGACAGTGTTTCAAGTCCGGCTCCATAAAGGCAATATTTCTTCCTGAGGCAAGTGTAATTTATTGATAGGTGGGCTACTCCCCCCAGTCGCAAATGGAAATAAATCATATAAACTGTTCAGGCCAGCAGCATGTAGACTAACTGACTGGCTAAATTTATCTCTGTAATCAAATATGGTCCCCCTCAGGTGACGTTATTGAGCAGGAAACTCAGCGAGACAGAAGAAATATGGAAGTAAAAGTGGTCTACATTAAATTACTTTATGTTGTTTGGCATGGCTCCAGTATTTAAGTGTAAAGCTATTCTCCTGATGCTCATGCTGCAATTGACTTATCCCTGTCATTTCACAGCCACGTTTCAGACCGTCCGCCTTTAAACCGGTCACCCCCAAAAACTTCAGTTCCATGCAGAACCTCTACCCTTCCAAGTTGGAGGAGCTAGAGAGCGGCTTAACCAACAGCATGCATCCATCCTATGCCAAAGCAGCGCCCAAATCGCTGTCCACCTCTTCCTCGTCCTCCTCCCCTTCACGGCCAGGCATGAGCACCAGAAAAGGAGTTCTAGCAGCAGCAGCCCGGGGCCACAGCCAGGAAGAGGAGAACACGTCCGACTCGGGACACAACTCCATGAACAGCCTGCCGCCCTATCGGCCGCCGTTCCGCCCTCACTTGGGACAAATCAGCGCCTCTATGGGTCACATCAATCACATCGGCTCACTGGATCGCAGTTCGCTGGGCTCCAAGGGAGCCGCTTCCACAGTCACAGACGTGTCCTGTCACAGTATGGCTACGCTGAACCGCCTGCAGTGCTATGGAAGCGAGGCCCCGCCCCCCTACGAGCTGTCACACTCTATGGAGGACGTGGTGAGGGACCTGGAGGAACGCCTGCAGGAAAAGGAGCACGAGCTACGTCAGATGAGGAGGAACTTGGATGAGAGCGAAGATGCCATTGCACAGGTCAGCATCTGCAAGAACACATGATCTATTAAACATACACTACCGTTCAAAAGTTTGGGGTCGGTAAGATTTTGATGTTTTCAAAAGAAGTCCCTTTTGAAAGAAGTCTCTTATGCTTACCAAACGCTGCATTTATTTGATCAAAAATACAGTAAAAACAAAAACTTTATTACAAATGTGAAATAACTGTTTTCTATTTATTTTAAAATGTAATTTATTCCTGTGATGCAAAGCTGAATTTTCAAACATTGATGAATAAAAGTATTAATTTCTTAAAAAAAAACAAAAAAAACTTTTGAAGGGTAGTGTACTGCATTTAAAATGGGTTATATCATAAATTTTATATATATTTATAAAAATATTATATATATATATATATATATAAATATTTAAAATATATTTTAGTTTTTAACTTGAACTTTTTTTAGTTTTTAAATTAGTTTTTAAATTTAAGATTTAGATTTTATTCTAAAAATATATATTTCTTACAGAATGATGTTTAAATCATCTTAAATACAGACCTTAAAAACATCTAAAGTAAAAAATAACACTGAAAAACGAAACAAACCTGAAAACACTGAAAAACAAAAACAACAATCTTAGTGTTCACACAGAACACATTCTTCCATTCCAAAGCGCTACTTTTCCATTGTTTCTCTATGTAAACATCTGCTAGACGGATGTGTATAAACCGTTGCACTCACGTCTTTTTCAGCGTCTCGCACATGACACAGCGTTCTAAAAACGATGCGCTCGAGTTAAATCAGTTCAACTTTTAAAAAACGCATCTCGCATTTCTCAAAGCAAAAACATGTTCCGTGTACACAAAATTGGAATGACAAATAAAGCAGAAATTCAAAAATTCAAAACTGTGTTTGTGTGCTCCTGTAGGTTTTTGAAGGGAAGCAGCGGCTCTGGGAGAAGGAGGTTACAGAACTGAAACACCTGTACACTGCCAAACTGCGCCAGGTATCCCAGCAGTCCCAGCGTTCCCAGCGAAACCTGCAGCTGCAGCTGTATAAGGTACAGCAGGAACGCAACCGGCTGCAGGAGGACCTGGATTCTGTCAGGCTTGAGTGCCAGACCCTGAAAAGTCAAAGCCCAGCGGGACAAAGCCAGAACATTAATCCCCAGCTGGAAGAGACCCAATGGGAGGTATGCATTAAGTCAGAGCTATCTATTCAGAGCTTTGGGGATTTCAGAAAACTTTGCAGGAGATAAAAGAAAAAAGTAGCCTTTAGTTGGATGATAAATGAAGGGACGCATCATGTATTGGTTGTTTGTTTGTTCACGCTGACCATACTGTAAATCTAAATCAGATGTTAAGGGCTGACTGTCCACACTGTCATTTTACAAGCAACCAGAGCTGCTTGTTCAAACAGTGTAGCCAATATCTGATATATCAGTTGCCATAGTAATGACTTTTATGACAAAGGCAAAAAAAGAAATTAAAACGTCAATGTCTTTGTAGAGACCGAGAGAATGATGAATTATAGACATTTTGCCTCTGAGATTGTATGGGAATCTCATCACAGAGATTATAAGCATTCAAAAGACCAATTAAATTGTTAACAGATCACAACATACATGTAGGGGCTGTTTACACGACACCGTTTTCAACTAAAAACGTAAAACGTTTTGAAAACGATACTGTTATCGCCTCCGTGTAAACTACAAAAAAACCCCCGCAAATTTGTGAAAACGATGCGCATGCATATTACGTGTTCAGTCTATAGGTGCGTGGTGTTGCTTTACAAAGTGAGATCGCCATCTATTGGCCTGGCATGCATAATACAGAGTTTTTTCATCGTTTTCGTAGAGCCTTGTGAACGGGGATCGTTATGACAATGGTCTCTGTACGCAAAAAAATGCAAATGAAAAACTTTTCTGTTTTTAGTACATTGTTGTTGTGTAAACATACCCATAGTTAATCATCACATAAAAAAAAAACGTTATCATGGAATGACAGATAAAAACTACTTAAAATCTGATCTGACTGAGAATTTAAAGTCCCTGTAAAGTCAAAATTAAGTATGTGTTTTGAGTTTGTCACACCACAGAAAAATTAGTTATTAGTCACCCAGCCAAATTTGAATGATAAAAAAAGCCAGCAAGTACATAAAATAAGCTATCAAAATCTTGAAGAAATGAGCAGTATTCTCTGCTCTCAAACGCTGGGGGCGTGTCCACTGGCTGCGCTGAAACCACGCCCACTCGCGGGAAAGCTGCCGTCGACTCGCCACACTCAACTCTACAGCCGGAATAGATGCTCGCACGGTGGGCAGTGGGCACACGCACTGCCGATGACACCAGTTGTCGGCGCGACGGGAGGATGAAGGCCAGGCGGGAGTCGGTTCGGCCCCTCACCAGTAACAGCGGATTATCAGTGAATCCCTGACAGTTATCTCCGACGAAAGTTTATAAAACTATCCCGTGTAAAATGATCACTTACAGAGGCGGGTGTTGGCGGTGATCCTCAGCTCTCCATCAAGGTGGCTCTTCACAAAATTAATCCACTTCTTCTTGATGTAATCGTTTTTCGGAAATTTAAATAAGGACACCGATCTGTTTTGTACGTGATCCGGTGATCGCATCCAGGTAGTAGGCCTACGCATTTCCGTGACGAAGGCATAGCTAGTAGCTAGCAATCTGTAGGCTGTGTTACTAATAATAGTGCTGACAGTAACTCGCGATTGAGCGGCAAACTGATGTGAATGTGCTCTATTATTGTTAGGAGCGGCCAGCCTCAGCGGCTACAGTGCGTCATCAAGTAGGGGCGTGTCCAGGAGCTCAAGGGCTCCAGTGCGTCATCAAGCCCTGTTTTAGCCCCGCCCAGAAAATCCGGAAAATAGCAATGGTGAAAAACTGTTTAACGGTCTAACTCCACAAATCAGTACCTCACAGTTCACAGTCTTTGTAATATGTTTTAGCAACACATTTCTAACATTTATAATGTGTTTAGAATTTTTTTTTGAAATTGCCTTTACAGGGACTTTAAATGTATTTTCAAAAATCTGACTTTAATCAGATTTCTAACCACATAACTATTTGCTCAGTTCAGACATCAAACAACTAAATGGATTTGAATGAGTGACAGAAAGACAGATTTTTATTGCCTATCTGGACAAACCCCTAATAAGCCTAGCATTATTAAAACAAAGGATAAGAACTACAGCCTGACAGCTTCTTAGTCAAAATATGATTTGAGAATATTGTTCATATGTACACTCACCGGCCACTTTATTAGGTACACCTGTCCAACTGCTCGTTAACACTTAATTTCTAAGCAGCCAATCACATGGCGGCAACTCAGTGCATTTAGGCATGTAGACATGGTCAAGACAATCTCCTGCAGTTCAAACCGAGCATCAGTATGGGGAAGAAAGTTGATTTGAGTGACTTTGAACGTGGCATGATTGTTGGTGCCAGAAGGGCTGGTCTGAGTATTTCAGAAACTGCTAATCTACTGGGATTTTCACGCACAACCATCTCTAGGGTTTACAGAGAATGGTCCGAAAAAGAAAAAACATCCAGTGAGCGGCAGTTCTGTGGGCGGAAATGCCTTGTTGATGCCAGAGGTCAGAGGAGAATGGCCAGACTGGTTCGAGCTGATAGAAGGGCAACAGTGACTGAAATAACCACTCGTTACAACCGAGGTATGCAGCAAAGCATTTGTGAAGCCACAACACGCACAACCTTGAGGCGGATGGGCTACAACAGCAGAAGACTCCACCGGGTACCACTCATCTCCACTACAAATAGGAAAAAGAGGCTACAATTTGCAAGAGCTCACCAAAATTGAACAGTTGAAGACTGGAAAAATGTTGCCTGGTCTGATGAGTCTCGATTTCTGTTGAGACATTCAGATGTTAGAGTCAGAATTTGGCGTAAACAGAATGAGAACATGGAACCATCATGCCTTGTTACCACTGTGCAGGCTGGTGGTGGTGGTGTAATGGTGTGGGGGATGTTTTCCTGGCACACTTTAGGCCCCTTAGTGCCAATTGGGCATCGTTTAAATGCCACGGCCTACCTGAGCATTGTTTCTGACCATGTCCATCCCTTTATGGCCACCATGTACCCATCCTCTGATGGCTACTTCCACCATGTCACAAAGCTCTAATCATTTCAAATTGGTTTCTTGAACATGACAATGAGTTCACTGTACTAAAATGGCCTCCACAGTCACCAGATCTCAACCCAATAGAGCATCTTTGGGATGTGGTGGAACGGGAGATTCGCATCATGGATGTGCAGCCGACAAATCTGCGGCAACTGTGTGATGCCATCATGTCAATATGGACCAAACTCCCTGAGGAATGCTTCCAGCACCTTGTTGAATCTATGCCACGAAGAATTGAGGCAGTTCTGAAGGCAAAAGGGGGTCCAACCCGTTACTAGCATGGGGTACCTAATAAAGTGGCCGGTGAGTGTATATTGTACAAGTTGTGAAAATGACAACATTTTATTGATTTAATAGGTCTGCCAGAAGTCTGGAGAAATCGCTTTACTGAAGCAACAGTTCCGAGACTCTCAGGCAGAGGTCACACAGAAGCTGAGCGATATCTTCCTCTTAAAGACTCAGCTGCACGAGGCGCGTAATCAGATGCAGAGCAAGGACAGCCAGATCGACATGCTACAGATGGCCCTACAGGGTGCCCGCCGGAAATGCCCCTTGCCTGCTTTCGAGGACACTCGAGCGGATGCGGGTGAGACAGGAGGAGCCAGTGCCACGGAGGAGCGTCTCAGAGCTGAACTGCTGCTGGAAAGGCGCCAGAACGAGGCGCAGACTTCAGCTTTTGAAAATGAGAGAAGCACATGGCAGAACGAGAAGGAGAAGGTGATACGCTACCAGAAGGAACTGCAGGCCAGCTACCTGGAGATGTACCACAAGAACGAGGCCTTAGAGAAAGAACTGGCAATGCTGAGAGGGGGCCGGGCCAGAGTGGAAGAGGGGGGAGCAGGGGGCGGAGAAGAGGAAGCAAAGCCGCCCACTGGTCTGCCCTGGATAGAGAGGATTGAGTCCTCTGAAATCTGACTTTGCAAATGTTCTTTAGCATCTGAGATTAGATTGACGACAACAGCTCTGGATCCTGTTTCACTTCTGAGACAATGAATAAACTATAAATAAATAATCTACAAGTTTGACCAAAAAGTGTACCAAATAGAGGCGCAAGCTGAATATTATGCGCCGTTTTGTATCACAGAAAGATTGAAATGAATTTTGTTAAAAAATCTGAATCATCAAAACTATTCTTTTTGCAAAAATGAAATGATAAATAATCTGATTTTATTTTAAACACAATATTTGTTTTCAGATCCTAAATCATTTACAATGGTTTAATTAAAAACCAATAGATGCTTTAAAATTAGCTTTACTGGAGTGTTCTAGCACTATTATTTCATTGATTCTATATTTTGGGCTTTAGGTACTGGATAATACAAGACATCATATTATTCAAAGAATGAAATCAGTTAAGTGTGCATTCTCTAAATGCATGATGCACTTTAAATGCACACAACTCATGAGTTGTCCTTTGCATTGGAAAACATGTCAACAGCTGATCCATATAGAAGCATTTCTGCTACTATGTCTATTGATGTGTGCTGCTGGGTTTTTCTGTTCTTTTGACCCAAGATGTTTATATCTGCATGAATGTGAAACGAAAATTCTGGTAAGTTTGATGCCATTGTGTGCACAGGACTGTGGAAAAGTCTTCAGTGATCGTAAGGGTGTGAAAAACTGTGACTTAATTGATAAAAACTACTGAATATTTCATATTCTGTTTCATGTAATAATTGTATAGATTTGTACTATACACGTATGGTGTTCTTTACCTCAAACTTGCATAAACCTTGCCATTTCCTTTAAATTGACTGAAGATTATTACCCCCTTGTTCTGTAAAAAAGCTCTAAAATGTGTCTTCCAGGTAATGTAAAATAAAAGTTTAAAATGTGTCTTCCAATTAGTAGTTTCTTTCACATACACTATATTTTATTATGTTAATAAAAGTCGTACCTTATCAAACCTTAATCAGTGTTTTCATTGGGCTGGACTCCAAGCCCAGACAGAAACGGCAGGATATGCAGAAAAAACCTGCAGATTCGAATGGACCAGTACATGAGTCCAACCCAATTGAAACATTTTTATTTTTGCTTTTATAATCAGATTGGTGGTAAATACGTAAAAGTATGTGCGATCCATTTAAAGATAGGCTATGCTACACCATTTTATAACATCTCCCGAATTAGACACGCCCCCTCTTTACAAACCTCCCGCTTCGGTGTAACCAGGGGCGTAGCTAGGGACATGCGCATTTCGCTCTGCTTCTGTTTTCAAGCGATTTTCACTTTTAAAGCTACCTCCGTCCAGCAATGAAATGTTTTACCGATGTTCACTCTCTCTTGCGTCTTCTTTTTTTATTCTGTCGCTGTGTTCTCTTTTTTTTCTGTCAACCTATTACTTTTATGCTGTTGCAAACCAGACTGTAAGAAAAGAAACTCACGAAAGTCCAAATTCATTTATCGCGCTTCCGGCTTCCCACTTACGACGTGCAAAATGATTGACAGCCAGAAAGCGCCTTCTGATTGGCAAAAAATAATAAGAATTTCATATTTTATTTTAGGTAGGCTATGTCACAGAGTTCTGCTGCGTGATATCTCAAAACAGGTATTTCCATATGAGAAGAAATTATCCCAAAAAAATAATAAACAAACATGTAAGGTGCAGTTGTGGGAATCCATGGGCCTGCTCTCAGAGGAAGAATGTGACTCAACAAGGCACTGCACACCTGCACATCAGATTCATCTTTACCGAGAGGAATTTTGTGCTCCATGGACCAGAATGGGCCATTGTCACTCGGACAATAAGGAGTCTGTCTATTCTGTCTTCAGGTAGAGACTATTATGTTGCTCCTTCAGAATCAAGAAGTTGTTCGGTATTAAAGGGGTGGTTGATTATGATTTCACTTTTCTAACTTAAATTAATAATGTTGCTGTTTGAGCATAAACCACATCTGCAAAGTAACGACGCTCAAAGTTCAAAGCAAAGGAAGATATTTGCTTTTAAAGAAATCGTTTTTTAAGGACTACAACAAACGGGTGGTAGGGACTACAAGACATTCCTCCCGGGTTAGTGACATCACCAACTCTAGAATTTACATAAACCCCGCCCCCCGGAACACGATTTATAGATTGTCATGACAGAATATACTAATCAATGACTAGAAGATAGTTAACTCCACATCAGCTACATAAATTCATCAGCTAACCATTCAGAAATGTCCTGTTGCATTCCACGTTGTCACTTCTTCTTGAGTCTCTCCATCATTGTCTGACTTCGGTTTGAACATAAAAGGCTAAAAGTTTTTGAAATTTTCAGTGCATGTCTGTGTGAGGTAAAAGCTTTTACTGTCTATGGGTAAAAGTACACGAGCTTTTGAAGCTCCGCCCTTTTTTGCTGGGAGCAGCAGCTCATTTGCATTTAAAGGGACAGACACAAAAACGGTGCGTTTTTGCTCACCCTCAAAAAGTGACAATTTTAACATTCTATATACAAATATCTGTGGAGTATTTTGAGCTAAAATTTCACATACACACTCTGGGGACATTATTTTATTTCTTGTGAAAAGGGCATTATACCATCCCTTTAAAAGTGAGAAAAGCAACAACAGGGCTAAGTTTAAAAACTAGCCTTTGAAAAAATATAAATACGTAAAACATGAAACTTTTTTTCAAAAAAGGAAAAAATACTGCTGTTTTATCTCATCTATATTCATAGCTTTCCCCCCTAGGGTTCATTATCTAGTTAAGCTCTCTTTATTTATGCACCATGACCAGATTTAAGAACCACTGCAGTAAGACGAAAACCCTTTAAAGTTTTTTATAAAGGTTTGTGAGAGTTAGATCCTTAATGGGAAAAACATACATTTTGCTGTACGTTATGGTCACAATTTCAAAGGCATTTTTAAACAGATTGTCAACTTTTTTTTATTACAACAAAAACTAAGCTTTAAGAAATCAAAACAACTTCTGCTAGTCGTCTTTTTAAAAAAAAATGTATAAATCCCAGTAAATAAAATGCTGGCCGTTGTGACTAGTGGGATGTCTTGAAATGGTGAGCCCCTATAGCTTCTCCAGTGAACTGAGGTTTCCCTCTTGTGGGAGTAAAGGGTCAACATCTCATTGAAAACAGTTTGCTGGCTATTGTTTTCAAGTTTCAGTAAGGAAATATTTTTATGTCCATTACATCAACAAATAAATAATCAAAGTCAGTTTATAGTGAAGCAAAGAACATGTCATAAACCATTAACCTACAACAATTGTTATGAACATGCACTACCATTCATAACTGTTTTTAAATAAGTATTTTATGCTCACCAAGGCTGCGTATTTGATAAAAAAATCCAGTAAAAACAGTATTACAGCCATTACTCCAGTTTTCAGTGTCAAATGTAAAAATCTTTACTCTCACTTTTGATCCTATATAAGCATTGGATTTGGATTATTGCATATTGATAGTAAAAAAAGATAAATGATTGCATAATAAAATACGATATAACATTTTCTAGAGGTACTTTTAATGCTTAAAAACTGCATCATGCTTCAGAGGGCTAAAATAAGAAATATTATAAAACTTGTGTGTAGAGGCAGACAGAAAACTCAAAAGCTGAGTATAAATCTTTTTATTATTTGATGCAAGTATAATAAACATACTGTACTGTTAGAAGATAAATATTTACAATAGTTGCCTTGCAGTTGTTAGTAGAGAAAGCAGAGTCATTTCTCAATCACTGAATGAAAACACTTCCATAAACTCACTATACTCTGCTTTGATCTTACAAATTTCAGGGAGGTAATAAATGATTGTCTACTAAAAGAAATAACAGACAACGTTTATTATCAGCACGTCAGTGGCCACACAGCACTCACACACCTCGTAAAGGCTTTAAACAATAGGACAGCCTTTGCCTTTACCAAAATAGAGGGGGGGGGGAATCAGACATCGTTTGCTGAAGAACATAGGTGTGCTGGTACATGCCCGACCTTCGAGAATGTCAAAGAGCTCTGGGACAGCTTCTCTCTCTCTGATAGGTGACTGAGTCTCAGGTCTGGATCACATCTGTCAGAAAAGCTTGAGGTGGGCAGGGTTTTGAAATGTCATTTTCATTCAATCACTGTAAAAGGGCAATTTACAAACCACACATTCCGCTTCGGCATGCACATTTCCAGATATCGATCTCAAAGTGGAACGGAACAATTAGCAGCTACATTGTGTTAAAGCCAGTGAGCTTTTGATGAATATCCTGAGGGATACAATATTATTCAACGGTCTCCCTTCACCTATACAGATATAAACAGTGAACTTTACATTCAGGGATTATGCGAAACATCTGGAAAGTCTCATCTTTATGGGGAACGTCAAAACACAGTCAGTCTACCATCAAATGTACATTAACGGGCATATAGTTTCATTACGTTATGCTGGCAAAGATTCAATCGCTAATGCAACTGTCCGCAGAGGATGCATTTCTCGAATCAGCGTGTGTGTTTTGATTATGTAAGCAGAGGAGCCCGAAGCTGTGAGAGCTAATGTAAGCCCAGTCCAATCAGTGTGTGCAAGTGTTTAAATACATTACATATGTAATTATACTAATGAAAAGTTATACCATCACAAATCACTGCTGTATATTTATTAAACTAAAAAACAAAACAAAAAACAGAGCAAGACACATATCTTGGACAAAGAGGTTTCCTCTGACATCCAACCAGCGCAAGGAACAAGATCACAATCTGCACGCACAAATCCTCTGATCTCTGATGAATATTCACACTGATGCACTAATCAAAACGCCATTCACTCCAATTACAGCCTTTATTACATTGGGAAGAGAGACGTCATTTGTTTAGAATCAACAGGCACCCGTTCACCAATCCTTATTTTTATTCTGTCATTCTTAATATACATACTGAAAACCCATTTCAATCACGTACACGTGCAAAGAATCCCCGTTCATGTATTTAAATGTGATCTCAAAAGAGTAAACTGTGGATATTTTCTGGCAAGAAGTCACCCACACAGATGCATCACGCCCATTCGCTTAATAAAAGTCACAAAGAAAGAAAAAGAGAGGTGTTATACCATGGAAACTTAAAAATACTCTGCAATTAAAATAAATGAAGAGGAAGCGAAATGCGCACACACATACATACTCATAAAAGCCTGTTTATACTAGGCCATGTTAACAAATGAATGATCCGCACAATCTTTTCCTCGTTGGGTACACTTACTGACTCGGGTTCTACAGGTATGTTGCCATGGCCACCGGCCTCTGTCAACTAAAAGCTTTGGAGAGGGAGGTGGCGTCATGGAGGAGAAGCAGCCACAGAAGGCTCGTCATGCCAGTGAATGAGGATCATTCTAACTGCGGCTCCAAGAGGCCTTTTCAAACACGTCATTCGGCTACGCTCCGAAAAAATACATCAGAAGAAGATCTGTTTGGCATCTGATGGATTCTGCTCCATAGGACAATATGGACATTTAAGCCTGGGAAGAGAGTTTAAGACATGGTCAGTGGGGAAAATAATACATTTATAACTGAAAACATTGAAGAACCACAATGAAATTAGTTCAAAAGGTGAAGTGTGATTAACAGCACCAAACAACGGTTGCCAAGGTATTGCAATGTGGTTGCTAATAGGTTCTCATGCTTGAATGTTCAAAAACACCTTATTCTTCATATATTTTACATTGTTGCAGCACCTCTCTTCCCAGTCTGTCAGTAACGCTCTGTTTAGTTCCTGTCTCTACGAAGTCCCTCCTTCCAAAAAGCGCAGTGTGTTCAAATTGGTCAGATGGACCAGCGTGTTGTGATTGGTCAATAGCTTCAAACGTGTTTCGTAAATGTTACTCCCCTTACCATAAAAGAAAGTTTCAACACACTACTAACACAACTCAA